ATTTAGGCAGCAAATTCTGTTTTAGGCATATCAGATTGAATAAATTACAGGCATTATGTCTGCTAATTTTTAATAAAATCCGTTCATATTCACGAATAACCTTCCACGTATTGCTGTTAAAGGATGACAGAAATGTGCTGTAACTGTTTAAATTTCTTTCATTTTTATTTTCCAGGTACTTTCGATTTTTCCCAAGATCATCTTCAGGGGTGCAAGTGGTACAAAGCTATATGCTGTTTATAAGAATAGGTATTTAAACAAAGCTGTTCGTTGTTATTCATTACCGTAATATTTTTCATTATGCTTTATACTGAAGTAATACATGCAATTTTTCATACTGGATGAAATGATCTTGGTAAAAGATCGAAAGTACAAAGAACGCATATTTTCTAAATAAATAAATACACTGTCTAAATAAATACACTGTCTAAATAAGTGCAATGTCTAAATAAGTGCACTGTCTAAATAAATATACACCGTTTTATAAATAAACGGAGCGTCTACTCAAATAAAAATAAAGCCTAAATAATAAAATCTATCTGATTAATAAATTTAACGAAATACATTACTTCTTTATATATATATATATGTGTGTGTGTGTGTGCGCGCGCAAATATATAGAAAAATAGGAAATAACAGGTTAGGTAAATAATCCGGAGTTCTTTAGTATTTTTGTTTTTAAAAAGACAGTGCTCAATACAAAAGTAGAACCTAAATTGTAATTATTTTTTTTAATTATTATTCCTCCGCTAGATAAGAGGTCTCATGTATCAAAAACAAGAGCTGAAAACTTCAATATAATTATTAAAATTAAAATGAATTAAAGTATCAATTTCTGTTTCATCTTCAAGCGAAATTTTTGAATAACTAATCTTGAAATTTACGCAGCTTTATTCGTAAAATTAATTAATAAATATATATATATATATATATATATATATATATATATATATATATATATATATATTATTAATAGAGATCTTATAAGTATAAGAAACTACACTCACTCGGAAAACCTTCGGTGTGTTGATTTACAAAGGTAAAAAAAATGTTATGAAGTTATAAAAAAAGAAAGAACCAAGAACATGTACGTTAACCGAAAATAGTCGTCCAGCATACGAGTCCAAGACCCAAATAAAAAAAAACCGATGCGAGTACCCAAAATAACAAAATAAAGTGCTCAATACAATGCGTAGAGCAGACCTAGTTAAACCTAGAGAGCAAGACAAACCTACCAAGGTTTCACCTAAGCGTATCGTCAGGGAAATCCAGCTTTCCCTGATGATACGCTTAGGTGAAACCTTTGTAGGTTTGTCTCGCTCTCTAGGTTTAACTATATATATATATATATATATATATATATATATATATGAGAGAAAGAACAAATGGAGTAAAAATCGAATAATATATTATTATTATTATAAGAGATTATTATATCATTATATACGTGGTATGATTTTTACGTTTTTATTATCAGAGATAATAGCAAAAAACATTTTAAATCGCTGCTCAAAAGCTTTCATTTTTCAATACTATCATTATTCTGCTTCAGACGATGGTTGGTAACTGGTGATAAAAATGATTTTTTTAGTTAAATTTAAAAACAAATCGTTACCTCTTTTCGGAAGTACAATTATAATATTGAAACATGAAAGCATTTGTGTGGCGATTTAAAATGTTTTTATTACAATCTCTTATAATATATATATATATATATATATATATATATATATATATATATATATATAACCAGTTACTAACTAACCATCGACTGAGGAAGTACAATCATATTGAAACATGAAAGCTTTTGCATACTATTTACATTATTCGGACTCTTGTCCTCATCTTTGTCGCCATATTTATTACAACGCTTCGGCCGTTGTACGCTCCGGCCTTCTCAGGTAGTTGAAATGTCAAACTGAAACCTTTATTTCGCTCACTGGGATAGACTGTTCTAGTTCAACGTGCCATGTTTAATGGATGTCAGTTATCAGTTATCTCCTGTTAGTTCCCCTCTGAAAGTTCTCCACTGCATTAACCGGGAATTGAACTCACACTCTTTGGGACCTGTTATTGGATCTAACTAACGCCTTTATCCACTGTGCCATGTGTCCTGAAGAAGGCCGGAGCGTACAACGGCCGAAACGTTGTAATAAATAATACGACAAAGACGAGGACAATAGTCCGAATAATGTAAATAGTGTACATAATACCTCATCTCAGAAATGTAGACAGATACTGAAAGCTTTTGTGGAGCGATTTAAAATGTTTTTATTACAATCCCTGATATATATATATATATATATATATATATATATATATATATATATATATATATATATTATTTATGCGTTTGTATATATGTGTGTGTGTGTGTGATTTCAAAAATACAATAACTTTGCGCAGCATTTGTTCCTTTTGTCCCCACTCATATCCCTTTTAATCTTCTTCATCTCTCTTCTTGATTTCCTCTCTTCCTCCTTGTACATAACTGACCACTTATCATTTGCTTGACTACCCCTTGTTCTGCTTACTGCTTCCTTTCCCTACGGTCTCATTATCGTAATCAGCCCAGAGTCATTTGACCGCGACTCATTGTCCTTGCTCGTCCTCAAACAGCAAACGGAAGTTCTGTGAAGATCTCTGGTCATCGAAAACTGCCTCTCAATGCTTCTTCCAATGAATAGAGTCTTAGGCTACCAATTCTTTTCGTTTTCTTTCGATTAAAATATTCTTTTCTTTTCCGTTTTTTCTGCTTTTTTTATTCAAAGTCATGCACATATGTTGTACCTTTTCTTCTCCTTTTCTTGTTAAGATTTTTGCTCTTTTGCTTCCTCGCTCGAACCAGAAAATATTCCTTATTTTTTACCTCTTTTTTTTTCAGTCGGGTTTATATCGTTCTTCTTTTCTTTCATCTAGTTTCTCCCAATACTTACTCGTCTATTTTTTCTTTCATTATTTTCTACTCTCTTCTCTCTCTCTCTCTCTCTCTCTCTCTCTCTCTCTCTCTTTTACTCGTCCATTCTTCATTTCTTACTTTTCTTTCTTTCTTTCTTTCTTTCTTTCTTTCTTTCTTTTCAACACTCTCTATCTTAATATTTATTTATTTTCTTCTTCCATTTCACTGAATCATTATTTTCTTTCTTCCTTTCTTTTTTCTTTCTTTCTTTCTTTCTTTCTTTCTTTCTTTCTTTCATTCATTCATTCATTCTTTCTTTCTTTCTTTCTTTCTTTCTTTTCAACTCTCTCTCTTTTAATTATTTATTTTCTTCTTCCATTTCGCCGAATCATTATTTTCTTTCTTTCTTTCTTTCTTTCTTTCTTTCTTTCTTTCTTTCTTTCTTTCTTTCTTTCTTTCTTTCTTTTCAACTTTATCTCTCTTATTCGTTCCTTGTTTCTTTCATTTTTCTTTCTTATTAACCTTTTCTTTCCTCATCTATTCTTTCTTTCTTTCTTTTTTCTTTCTATTCAACTTTCTTTCTCTTACTCGTCCATTCTTTCTTTTATTCTTTTCTTCATTCATTCATTCTTTCTTTGTTTCTATTTCTTTGTTTTCAATCTCTCTCTTACACGTCCATCCTTTCTTCTATTTTCTTTCTTTCTTTCTCGCTTTCTTTCATTCTTTCTTTTCAACTTTCTCTCTTTTACGCGTCCATTCTTTCTTTCTTTTTCAACTTTCTCTTTCTCGTCCATTCTTTCTTTCTTACTGTCTTTCTTCTCAACTTTTTCTCTCTTCCTCATCTATTCTTTCTTACTTCTTTTCTTTCTTAATCAATATCATTATTTTCTTGTAATGAGCCTTGTTTAAAGATCCCGAATAAAATCAGACGAACGTTTCGTCGTCTTAATTACAAAGCTCTTCTTTTCCCGCATTTTTTCTATCTTCATCCCGACCACCATTTTTGTTGTCTATTTAACATTTCCCTTTTCCTTATTTATTATATGCCTGTCCTAGCCACTACATTGAATCCTCATGTCTAACATCTTCATCATCGTGACAAAACGCTATGATAACCTCTCAACCTGGACATTTCTAGATGACATAAAACACAGGAAAAATAAACTGACTCCATGTAAACGTACCCTGCAAATTAATGGTCAATGCAATGTCTGTCAGTCCGTGTGTCTGAAACCCCTTCTAACTCAGGCTATACTTGTTCATTATAGACATATTATACATTTTCTGGGATCAGGAGACATCCGAGATTGAATATCTGCCCTTCATGTGGTGCTTGAAAATACAAACTTGGTATTTGAGCCCGAATGAGATGGGAATAGTTAAAAATACAAACTTTAAAATAACTGAAAAAAATTAGTGATTTTAATTTTTTAAATTTTATATTGAGCTTAAACTTACAAAAACAAGCTTTGTGAATTTAAAAATGTTTGTTTTAAAATCAGATTAAAATATCTCCAAAAATTTTTGAATTAAGGAAATCAATTTTATTTCTTCACGATGCCAAGGAATCTGAATTAAAGTCAGTGATTTTGTGAGATGAAGTTTTGAAGTTCCACAGAGTTTGTAATTTGAAGAACTCAATTTTCAGTCTGAAATGGAATTGCAGACCAAATTGAAGTTTCGGCCCAAATCAGTCTTTTGGCCGGAATAAGACTTAGAGTCTGGATCAGAGTTAAAGTTGTGTTTTGAAGTTATTTCTGCAAAATTATCATTATTTTTTTCTAAACTGAACGACAGGTTCTTTTAGTTTTGAGCCAGAGGCCCAATTAGCCCATCACAGAACCAAGCTTAGAAGTCTGCATTTATTACGAGAATAAATGTCCGAACAGAACTAGTAATAAAAACTTGGCTCTTTTTTATGCAAAAATAAGTATCGGGAGATGACGAAATAATCGTTCTTGGTCGGGTTTCAAATAGTAGTTAGGTCTGACCACATTAAATGAAAGTACATGTTTATAATCCTCTCAATTCCAGTTTAACTCCTGGTCTGAATGTAGCTCCACGGACATTAATTCAAAACGTGACGGATAAGTTCATCGGTATGCTGCGACTTGGTATAATTTTAATATTCTTCTTCTTCTTCTTCTTCTTCTTCTTCTTCTTCTTCTTCTTCTTCTTCTCCACCTCCTCCTTCTCCTCCCCCCTTCTTCTTCTTCTTCTTCTTCTTATCCCTTCACCTTCTTCTCATCCTCCTCCTCCTCCTTATCCACCTCCCCTTCTTCATCTTCTCCTCCTCCTCCTACTTTTCACCTTCTTCTCCTCCTCCTCCTTCTTATACACCTCCTCCCCTTCTTCTCCTCCCCCTTCTTCTTCTTATCCCTTCACCTTCTTCTCATCCTCCTTCTCCTTATCCACCTCCCCCTTCTTCTTCATCTTCTCTTCCTCCTCCTACTTTTTACCTTCTTCTCCTCCTCCCCTTCTTCTTCTTTTCCTCCTCCTCCTTCTCCTCATATTCTTCTTTTTCTTATCCCCTTCACCTTCTTGTCATCCTCCTTCTTATTCTCCTCCTCCCATTCTCCACCCTTTTTCTCCTCCTCCTTCTCCTCATCCTCTTCTTCTTTTTCTTCTTCTCCTCCTCCTCATTTTTCTTCTTCTTGTTGACTTTTCCCCCGTATTCAAAGTTGAATCTCAAATGCCATAGGATTTATTACAAAATATTTAAAACCATTAAATGTTTATCCTTAATGTAAATATTAGAAATGGTGCAAAATTTAATAAAATTCTATCCTACAGCAAGTCGCTAGCGTTCTTCATTCGCATTTAAATACTGTCTAATAATAATGGCCTTGTGGCTGACTAAAAAAATTCAAATGACAACGGATTAATTGATATAATAAGATATGTCTCACCTTAGTACCGCCAAGGATCTAGGCGTTAAAATTGGAATCAACGAAGTGATTTCAAAATCAGGTTTAATCTGTTGCTTTTACTTTCGCGCAAGTGATATTGGGAAAGAAAGGAATTTGTCTCCTTTCCCTCCAGCTATGGGTTAAATAGCACGGTAGGCTGGCCACGCTAGACGTACGTTGCAACCAATATAGAAGAAAGAAAACTCCGAATTTTAAACAGGAGATAAATTATTATATCTCCCAAGAAGAAATGTCAATTCGCATTTAATAAAGCAAAGGAAAATGTGGAGAGACGTGATCATCTGCATCTTGATGTGACATGGCAATTCAGAGATAATAAATGAAAGTAAACTATGGAGATTAGTCATCGCCTACATGATGATGGGAGGCACGGTGTAGCAATGGATAGCGGCTCAGATTGAGGAATCGGAGAGCCGAGTTCGAATTCCAGTCGAGTCCATTACATTTACTTGGGAAATTTATAAATCCTCTCCTTCAATGGGTAAATAGCAGGACAGACTGGGCTGTATAGTCTTGGGTGGCAACCGGTCTAATAAAAAGAAAATTCTGAATTCAAAACCGGCCTGGAGACGGCTGGGCTCCATCAGGCTATCTTGCCCAAAGAAACACCACTTTTACTGCGGCTGCAGTCCACGTGGTGCCTCTAGGGTAGTAGAGATGCCATGGGATAAAAAATGACAGAATCACGGGATAGAAAACCCATCCTGATGGGAAATAGCAATTCACAGATAATAAAGAAAAGGAATCTGTTGAGAGCCATGATCATCTGCAACCCGAAGAGACATGACAATTCACATATAATAAAGAAAAGATATCTCTGTAGATCTTTGATCGCCTATGTCTTGTAGGTGCAGGGCATTAGAAAAATTGCAAATTTTATGGTTATTACTTTGCGTCTCAGTTCTGCGGGTTCAATATCAATTAAGTTTAATCGATAAATTAAAGCATATATATATAACTCTTAAGTTATATTAACTCTTTACAACGAGTCATAGGCTCTATCCCCGGTTTGACTTAATATCAGCGTTCTAAAAAAAAAAAAAAAAAAATCAACATCACACTAAACCCAGGGGCACGTTGCAAATATCCGGAAATTGTATGTTTGCTTATCGCGAGCTAAAATCCAATTTTTTCACGATTGTCTGAAAATCTTACAAAGGTCAGGGACTTTATCAGAGATTAGGAACTCACATTTTTATCAGCATTTTTTCTCTCTATTTATTTCTCTTTAGGTTTTTCTTGTTGATTTTCACACCGGAAGTAAACATTCAGAAGAAAACGAGTCAAAAGTGACCGATGTTTAAATTTTGATAGCATTTCCGAAAAACTTTAAATATTCGTTAATGAAAAGGCAGGTTAGAAAATGTGTCTGATTGCAGAGAGACCTGGGCAACTGAAATACGAAGAAAAACATTATTGCTGGGATTTTTTTCCCTTAATCTATTGCTCATTTTTTTGTTTTACTTAATTTTGTGGGTATTATTGAAATTAACAAAGTCTCAATGAAAAACGACTGTTGTAGTTTAATGTGTTTTTATATTAATGAGTTCAATATACGTTCTGTTAGTATCAGTATTGTGGAGTAATTGGGCTGGGGATTCGGAGAGCCGAGTTCAAATCCCAGTCGACTCCATTACATTCATTTACGTACTAATACTCGAGAGAAACGTCTGAATTCACTTCTACTCCACCCAGCTATGGGAAAATAGCAGGAGAGACTGTGTTCTATATCCTTGGATAACAACTGATCTATGGCAATCGACTGCGGGAAAATAATCTACCTCATCAGTAATCGACAGATATATGATCGACTAAGCGTGTATCACGCATGGTATATAACTGACTGATGTTCCAAGATTTGAGCTTTTTAAACCAATGTAAATTTTAAATTTTTTTTCTATTTATTATTTTAGGAGTGAAACAAAATATCACAACTGCATTATTATGTCCAAATAACTTGTTATTAATAAGAATTAACAACTAGTATTCTTAGTATATTATTTTTTTATATATATATATATATATATATATATATATATATATATATATATATATATATATAGAACAATAAAAAAAAAAAAAATTAAAATCTTTAGACACACTGGGTTGTAGATTAATATTCTTTCGTTTTTTTTTTATTATTATTCCATTTAGATTCCTCGACTAGTTTCGACCAAAATGGCCATCATCGGGAGGAGAAATATTTCTGCTTGCTGGTAGCAGTAAACTACAGAAATGAATATCTTGCTGGAGAAAATGAACTTTTGTCTGTAGTTTTCATTTGTTTTTTTATTGTTTTATCTTTTTAACATGAATCTTTTAACAATCCTTGTGTTGGTCAAACAGTCTCTTTTAAGTTGTTATTTGAGATAAGAGCTGGATAGCTACATGCGGCTCTGAATTCGCTGGTCAGTTTGACAGTTTTATTGGACCTGGTGAGGGGATGCGTCTCTGTTTAGTGTTTGTGTGTGTGTTATTTGGTTCTTAGGGAGTGAGTGAGTATGATATGTGTAAGCGTGTGTATTGCTGTGGGTGTGTGTTATCATTTGGCTCATTAGAGAGTGAGTGAGTATGATGTGTGTAAGTGTGTATATTCATGTGAGTGTGTGTATAAGTGTGAGGCCTCAACACCTCCGTAAGCATGTCTGTCTTGTGTGGGTGAGAAATGGAGGTAGGCTTTGATTTGTTGACTTATATATTAATACTATCTATATTGTTAAATTTGTGGTTTAGCCCGGCTAGAAAGCGTGTTTTTAAACGTTGTATCCACTTATTTTCATGGGACTCTATATGAAAAGTAAATAATAAAGAAAAAGAATCTGTGAAGAGTCATAATCTTGTACATCTCGATGGGACATGGCAATTCACAGATAATTATATATATATATATATATATATATATATATATATATATATATATATATATATATATTCTCGGATAGTTCTTTATATATATATATATATATATATATATATATATATATATGCCATATATACATAAAAATAACGTATAAACCTCAAAATGTCTTAATATATATATATATATATGTGTGTGTGTGTGTGTGTGTGTTTATAAACATACACTGAGTGAGAGAACTCGATTCGATTCACTGAAGAGTCTTGCGTTATTAGCCGTAATAGTCACTGTTTACAAACTCACACTTCCTCCCCAGAGAGGTCAACCGAAATAAATTTTTCATGAGCATATGCATTTTATATATATATTATTTATATATTATATATGTGCGGTACTTATTGGAAAGCGCTCACTATCAGTGATAGAGCTAACACACACACACACACACACACACACACACACACACACACACACACATATATATATATATATATATATATACACCCCTGGTCAAGACCAAATAGAAAAGGGTTAAAAAATATATAAAACGCTGTTAATTTAATCAAAATATATTTTCGAAACTTTTACATTTAATTAGAAAATGTAGTTTAAGGGCTAGAGATATCAGGTACATCGTTGTAGAAGATCAGAAACAGTGTAGGGCCCAGAATATAGCCTTGGGGAACACAGCGTTCGCGTGAACGTAACTGGAGGAGAACCCATTTAGGACAACCTTCATTTCACGGTTTGACAGGAATGATTGGATTAAATCAAATAATCATCCTGTAATACCATATCCCTGAAGCTTATGAAGAAGGCCGGCATGCCAAACCCTGTTAAAAATCCTTCGCTATACCTAGAGCAACAGTTCGAGCTTCGCCATTATTATCAAGAGCTTGGTATATAAATTCAGTTATGGCCGTAAGAACGTCGGCGGGAGATCGGGCAAAGTAGAAACCATATTGCTTGTCAGAGAGTGGGAAGCAAGATGCTTAACCATTTTGGCATTTATTAAAGTCTCGAAGACTTTGCCGAAGACTCAGAGGACGGTAGTTAGATGGGTCAGAAGGGTCTCCAGAGTTCTTTAAAACAGGGGCAATAGATGAAGATTTTCAAAATACTGGAAACCAAAAGTCAGCTAGGCAATAATTATAAAGTTTGGAGCGAATTGAAGACAGCTCAGGAGCGCATTTCTTTAGTAACCCGTCTCCTCTATTTTCTAATTGAGTCTAATTTAGAGATGATGTTCAATACTATCGACGGGGTTATTCTTATCTCACTCAATAGAGCTTCCGTTCTAGGAGGAAAATCAGGTGTGGATACTCCTGACGAGTCGAGTGTTGAGTTCGATGAAAATTTCCGGGCAAAGCATTCATCTTTATCAGTAGCGGAAGTTAGGACTTCATATAGGAAATATTGTGGATTTGCTGTTGCTCAGCACACCCTCACAGAGCCGCCAATAATCTTTAGAAACAAAATCAAAAGAATCCACGTGAAAAAGAATATCATTGCCTGTCTTACTTGTATGTATCTCTTGGAATTTCTTTCTTTAATTATTTTATTTACCTATTCCTTTTTATAATCGGCACTTTTTCCTTTTTTTATATTTTTTAATTAAAGTGAATTCATTCTAGCCCCTTTTTGAAAACTTTAAATATTAAATGTTTAATATTTCTGGCTCACATACATACATACATACATATATATATATATATATATATATATATATATATATATATATATATATATATATATTATGAAATGGACAAATGATTAATTTAAGATATTTTTATGTTTATGCATTTTTTTATAGATATAAATATTTTAAGTAAATGCTCTGTTTATAATAAACTTAAAATATTTGTATCTATAAAAAGAATGTATAAACATAAAAATGTCTAAAAATAATTGTCG